AAGATGAGAGAAGCAAGGTGGAAGATGTTTGGGCGGGGGGTGCGTGGGGGGGGGGGGGGTGGGGGGGTGTGGGGGGTGGGGTGGGGGGGGGGGGGGGGGGGGGGGGGTAATGTAAAACAGATAATTAAATTGGTCTGGCCTAACCTAACTTAATAATTTTTTGTTGTCGGGATTATGACCTTCGGGATTCTGTTTGTCGGGATTTTGACCGGCACCCGACATGGGTATTTCAATGGACATAAACTGCCCGTGTCTATTGACAATACTGAAATTACTCTTTATGTTTAAAGAATAAATCAGTACAACTGATTAATTTAAAGGCATTTATTCTTTGATGGTAAATATTCATAACGATAAACCGAACCGCCAATTTATATGGATGTATCATATAACGATATTAATGATTAGTCTATACTAACACGCACGTGGCGAAGCACGTGCATAGAATTACAGTAGTAAATCTCTAAATAGATCATTTTATTACTGTATTACTAACCAGTTTATGACCAGACCAAAATTTATCAAATAATAATACCTCTAAGGCCGTTTGCAATTGAAATTTCATTTAATGTAATTTTTGTATTTACACGGTGATCAAACAAATGTAAAAAAAAAAAAGATTATCGAAAATCTCGAATATAAGCAAAAAAAAAAACTATTACAATACTATGTCAACCATTATACAGATCTATTTGTTTAATTTGAGTAAAAGCTCAAGAGATGGAATGAGAATAATGTTAAATGAAGAAATCAATCTAAAACAGCCCAATTATGTGACAATTAACATACGTTGGAAACGTGACTTGATCGCAGAGACGTGCCCGCGTGACCCGGGAATTCCAAATTTGGGTTTACCAGGGGAATTCCAGGAATTCCGGGAATTTGGGAAATTCGGAAAATTCGGAGGATTATTACGGACAATTAGGCAATATGCCCTTGAATAATATCCTACCGCATAAAGTACCTCATTCTTCACCAATGAAATCGCTGGATTCGTGAATAGTACCCGGTATTATTAAATTTTAAAAATGGTGTTCTTGAATAAGACCCTGGGTACTGTATGCAGTACTAAACGGTAATAATTACTATAATAAGGATAGTTCGGGACACTTCAAGAACACGGAACCCCGTGATATTTTCGTGATCATCACATCACATATGAAATTGTGCAATGACATCATTTGTTTACTAGCACTAAAAAATTAGCCTAAACTAACCTATCACCTAACCCTAACACTAACCCTAACTTAGGCCGAACACTTAATCATGTGATGTGATGATCACGAAAATATCACGGAGTTCCGTGTTCTTGAAACTACCCGATAGTTCTAGTTACAGTATAAGGCCGTTCGAAGTTGATTCTTCGATTAACCGCTGAAGTCTCCCTCGAAAATGAACAACCAATAAAAACGCTGGATAACTCTCGACCAATGAAATTGGGCATTTTTATATGTTCGTTTAATTTTAACCCTCCCCTCAAGCGTACTTAAGGTGATGTTAACCGAAGAATTAACTTCGAACGGCCTAAGGCGTGTTCTGTATGTAAAAATGGATATTGAATTAGTTATAAATAAAGCCTCTTGGCCCTTTGGGAAAGATAGTTACCGCTTGACGAAAATAATAAAGTACCTAAGTCACACATATTAAAATAGATTCGTTCATTAACCACTCGCCAAATCTAACACGCCTCTTTCGATTTCGTCCCCAACTTCTGTTGGTCGGTTACCCGATTTCTGCAGAACGATTTATTGCGTCTTACAATGTAATAGATTAGGACAGTATATTTAATTTAAAATTTAGTTCATTATCGGTATCATATAATAGGTTTTAAAAATAACTTTGACCGGGTAATAATTTATTTATTGGCCCCAGCTTAATACTAATACATAATACTAATACATAATACTAATACATAATACCATAGCGTTTATGCTTTTTTTGTTTTATGTTTTCGTGACACAATGTTTAACAATTAACTGACATTAAATGACATGAAAAAAAAGACGTTACGATCTAGAATTATTATACTGCTGTACGTGGGAATTATTTGAATGAGCTGAATCCAATAAAATCCAGATATAAATTTAGCCTCCAAAATTATTACTATCGCCATTTAAAAACCAAATTTATTCGAATGTATTCGGATTGAATTTAACTTTTAAAACAGACAAAATAGTAAAAGAAAAGATTGGTCCGAACAACATTCATTATTATATGCTTTAATGTTTATTTTCATGCAGGTCTTATATGTAACAAAAAAGGTTTAAACATATAAGATAAATAAACAATAGCACGTTTGTGTAAAAAAAAAAAGATTAGTGTAAAATTACAAATTTAATTAAGCTATTTATAAAAATTCATGTAGTATACGCGTTGATACATAAAAATGTTACTCAATAACACCATTTACGTGATTTCTATATCGCGTTATTTTCGTCAGCAGCTGTAATGTTTTATCTTTTAACATTTCTTTTTTTCTTTTAAGAAAAAAAACATTAATGCTCAAAAATGTTGTGTTTCAAATAACATAAATTGTAATTAGAATTTTCTAAAAGTTACCTAATATTCTAATAAAAGCTGAGAATTGCAGAATTGTATAAAATGCTGAACTTTAAACCATCTCAAAAATCATTGCTCAAGAAAACTTGAACAATGGATCCCGATAATAGAAATGAATCTCAAACTTCCCAGAAAAACGTTGTCTTAGCTGAAGTTATAATTGATGGCGTTCTTGATCCCTTCAATAGAAATCGAAATTCAGAAAACGCAGAAACCTCCCAACCAGCACAATTTTCTGTTGAGCTATTTACCGGTTCACCACCACCACCGTAAATATTGACGTTGATCGTCCTTCTAATGTTCAAATATAATCAAGGTCACCTGGTTTTACTATTTGATCTAAATCAAAGCAACGACAACTTAATTTTTCTGATCGCTTAATTATTATATTGGTGGACACTTTCTAATCTTTTTTTTTTTCTTGCTGCGCACCAAACGTGACTCGATCAAATTTTTACCTATGTTACCTTTTTAATTTATTCGCCTACTTCGTTTTAATTCATTTTCATTTTTCTTTTCGTCGCTTATTATTTTATTTCGTATTCACTGATGGATGATTTTGGATCGGTTTATATATATATATATATTATTAGAAATATTCTATTCGTTATTTTTTGACTTGAAGAATAGCCGAATTAGTTATTATGCTAGTTAAACAAATAAGTAAGATTAAGCTAAATTTTTTATTTATTATTGTTATAATTATGAGATGCCACACTTTAGTTTTTTTTCTTTATTTTATTAATAACGTTATATACATTGTTAGAAGCATTATTCTAGTATATCATCTTGGATATGCATCTTGCATAACATTGGTTTAATTGACTGAATAAAAAAAATAAAGTTAGTCATTCTATTCTAATAAAAGAAAATTTTCAAAAAATTGATTAAAGCAATCTACATTGTTCCGAATTTTTTTCTTTGATCTTTTTTTATTACAAACAAAACCTTCGTTTAGCATTATTAAAACAACCAATTATGATTTTATACCAAAATTTTATTTATTATTTCTCATTCTTAATTACTGTGACACTAAAGAGCACCAAAGAGTGGATATTTTAAAAATAATCTAACCTAATTTAAAAAACAAGTTTACCAAAAATAGTTAATCTTTTTTTTTAATAAAAAAATTTTTTTATGTTAAGTTTACGCGTAATTATTTAATACTATGTTTATATAGCGAATTAGACTAAGTATTAAAAAAACTTAAGAGCAGCAAAACAAATGAACGAATTAGTACATCAAAGCTACTGTATATTTAAAGTATATGCTTTTTTGCATTGTCACTGCTACACTATTCGACTTGCTGGATGTGAAATACGTAATATATGCTTTGTGTATTTTCAAAATGGACGAATAAAATTTTAAAAAACAAAATTTGCACGATCTACAGTAAGAATTTATATTTGAATCAAAGTAACATATACATTTTTCTGTGAGGAATTAGCTTTAGTTAAATATAAAAAATAATATTTGATGCATTGTAACAGGTAAAATTACTTGTCATTGGTACTATTTACATATTATCTGAAAATGGTCAATGTTAAGAAGTGTGATCGCACTTTAACAAATATGGATATTAAAACTGGAATAATTTAATATTTATTGTAGTTCGAATTCGAAGTATTCTTACAGATAAGACTTTGATAAAATAAAGTGCATAAAAAATTTTTTTATTTTTAAATTTTCTGTAAAAAAAAATTAAATTTGTACTTAAATTTTTATCATACTGTAGGATTATACATATTTGCAATTGGTGTTTGATCAAGTTCTATTCTTAGATACTGTTACATGCCATTTTAACGATACCATATTTGAAATTCTAGGAATTGCTACGTATAAAACTCAAAGATTGTTTTTTATTTAAAATTTCACGAAATTTAATTCGTTTCCATTATACAGTTTTTACGTAGTACTAATAGAGCCTTTGTCCCGTTAATAATCGAATTATCAAGTTCCGATTTGGGAGGACAGCAATGAAACGAATGATAATTCGGTAAAAATTTAATAATTATCTCGGAGTAACATCCATTTTGGTACGTATCTACTATTTTTAAAAAAAAATGAAGAAATAACGTTACAAATTTGGAATTGCATCAATAAGTGATCACGTGTTTCTTTGTAATATGAAACAAATTTGGAATTGCATCAATAAGTGATCACGTGTTTCTTTGTAATATGAAACAAAATTGCATTGTTTCATTACGGAAAAAACCCCATTCATAAAATGTTACACTGCATATTGCATTATTGTTTTAGAACAATTAAATTTGGACATGTGCATTTACAAAGCATGCGAGATTTAGTTAATATTTAAGAATAAAAAGGAAAAGAAGGCATTGGATTCTGTGAACGTTAATTGATTGGGGATTAATAGATTAGACTCAATGAATTGTGTCATATATTTCTTCACTCAATACACCTCATTTCGAAATATCTGAAATATGGGCTAGGTGCTGCAAATCAAAAGATCTTCGGAAGATCAATTTTTATGTTATAAATCTACAATAAATCATAGTACAAATACAAATTTTAAAGAGCTATACAACTGCTTTTGTGCTTTAAGTAAAAAAATGCTTCTAATCTTATTCTAAACTGATTTGAAAAAATTTTTTTTTGAAAATTTGTCGATCTCTCTTTTTGCAACACTTAGCCTATATCTATCTTGGATATGAACGGGTCCGCTTGATGTTTTTATAATAAAAAAAAAAAGTTTTTTTTTTCAAATAAGATCACTAAAATTTAGTTTACTCAATCCTTAATAATAAATTTTTCAAATATCATTCTTTAAAAGATATTATTATCTACCGCCTGCATTTTTCAAAAATTTTGATTCATTTGAATTTCTCTGCTTTTTCTGAATGACTTCAACCAAACATTCAATCCTTATGGAGTAATATAGTTAATAAATTTTTCGATTGATTTCGTTCATGCAATAATTATACAGTAAAATAAGCTTAAAACTAAACTGCACTGACCTTGATAATTATCAAAAAAAGTGTTTGCATAAGCTTCGTAACTTAACAGTTAAGCTTACATATTTTTACGAACGTAAATAGTAAATTGTGTTACAAAATTTGAAAAATTTCATTCATTGACTTATTCGTTAAAAACAAGAGCTTCCTTGAGGAAGTATATTGTTATTGTTATTCCTAACTTTCCAAAGACTAAAGTAGACTTAATTTAAAAATACTTTTATTGATGTTTAGTCTGATATTAAAACGTACATAAGATAGCTCCGCATTGGTTAATTTCGGTATAAACCGTTTCGTTTAACTGCTAAAAATAATTCCCATACATTTTACCTAATACTGTACTTTATGATTTGTTAATGCATGCAAGGGATCCCGGATGACTAATTTGGGAAAAGTAATTTATTATTTTCATTCATAAATTACCAACGTATACGTATAGTGAGGATTCATCTCATTAAAGAAGAAATATATGCTGCATCTATAAAATTTTGTCTTAAATAAGAAAAACTTCGGTGTATGTTGTGCGTAAACATTAATTATTACAAAAAAAATATATAGAATTTTTACAGTATTTACAGTATGATTTAATGTTATACGCATGTAGCGACAAAAAAAAAAAGGCTACGTATCTTTTGTGTGATATTACTGTAATGCAGTCTGGCATTGGTTCTTCATCAGACTCAAATAGGTTTAAATTCTAAGAATTTAAGATTTTCATATCGTCAACGCTAAAGAAAACCAATTAGATTACGAATAATTTAAAGGCATAAATTTAGAGAATTTGAAATTAACCTTTTTGGCGTTCTGCTTTTACATGCATTTGATTAAAAGATAGCACAACTTATATTCACTTTAATTGTTGGAGAACATAAATCATAAATGAGTGCCGTCAAAAGGGACCTGTAATCGGACTTTCAATTATATTTTGTGTACAGTTAACCGTTTACGGAAGATCCACCATCATACACAAAATATAATTGAAAGTCCGATTACAGGTTTTCTCAAATGAAAGGCCATAAAAGAAAAACATTAACTTTATAAGGAAAACTATTAAAATGAACAACTATTAAACTGCATACATATATATATATATTTATGTTTCATAAACTAAATATAACCAATAAACTTAAGTGTTTGAATAATTGAGGTGTCTTCATCTTTAAATAATTATATTTATTGGATATTCATTTAACTAATTATAATTCACAAAAGCTTACAATGTAATGTATTGTATTGATATATCATTAATGTAGTATTGAATTATTTAATAATTTATTGTAAATTTTGTTTACGTTTGAAATTAATTATAATTCATTTAACGATTCACTTATTTATGGAAAAATTGATCAACCAATCATGATGTATAATGATCGATTATACGAAAATGCTGTAAATATAAATAATTATGTTATGTATCAATAGACTTAAATCTTATGTACAAAAAAAAAATAATAATAAGATTAGATATCGCTTTATTTATTACTTTATTATTTCTTAAGTATATCCATTGTTTGTCTTTTGGGTTATATGTTTGTTTATTTTGTCGATCTGTTGCATCACATGTATGTGTTACGCAAAGTTGCATTGCCTGTCTATTTACTACGCCGACAATGTACGTAAATACGTATATCAGTACTGATACTCGGGTTTCTCATGTGATAGGGAAAACATGTGTTCGTATTAAAGTTTGTGAAAATGCGCGTACTTCAAAATATAAGTTGAAAGATGTACAGACTGTGTACCTTATCACATAAAATAACATTTTTTTATTCATTCATGTATAAACTCTTTATTTTTGAATGATACAAGAGTCCAATTTAATCTCTGTGCGGCATTTATATTTTTGGATACTTGTTTCGGTTTTTTTTTTGAAACTCTATACGTAATAGACTTGGCATTTATACGAACGTATATACGTACGTACGTTTTACATTCTATTAGCCAGAATATTATTTTATTTCTATTTCTGCAAAGAAATTACCATGTGGAAGTAAAATAACTATTTTCAACTCAGACTTTATCCATTTAAACTTACAGTACTTTAATCTATTAATTATTACCATAAAAAACTGTATTTCAAATAAAATAATGTCCACGTGTAATTATTGATGCATTTGTTAAACATTATTCAATGTCCTCTAACATTACTGTTTTTTTTTAAATACTGTTACAACATGATGATTAAAAGAGAAAATTTTTTTTTTTTTTGTTTTTTTGTGAAAATTTCTTTACCAAAAAAAATCGATTTTGCGACCTGATCAATTTTTATTATAGTATTACAAATATTCAATTAATTTGTGCAGATTTATTATTTGAGCAATAATGACGAGATTATGGCGTAAATTGTCAATAGTTTTACTATCAACACTTTTAAATCCAAGGAGTCAAAGAATTGTTCAAAACAAAAACAAATTATACATCATATATTAATTAATAAATGAACTTATGTGTGCGAATGCTTGGCATCCAATTTATCTGGTATCCTATCTATCTATCTAGAGAGAAGTGTCTAGTAAACTAAATATTATGATTTACACCAATTATTTTTTCATATTAAGTTCATGTCACGTAAATAATCATAATAAATACTTCATCAATTTCGCTAATTACTTTCATTTTGAGGAAGCTGTTCAATTTCACTTGAGGAAAATTTGATTGAAATGCGTCCTTGGAGTACTACAGAAGCTGCCTATCTTTTAAAGCTCAATGAAAAACATGGCCGTGATTGGAAAATTATATCTGAATTACTTGGACGAACTCAGAAAGACTGTTACAACAAGTAAAAATATTCGTTTATTGAATCATGGTAAAAGTTTCTTTTACTAACTTATTCATTAACCACTAGATATTTAGAACTTAATCCGGGTTTCAGACGGCCAGCGAGAAATGTTTATCGGCGAACATGAAAATTCCTCTATCGTATTTTTTATTTAGAATTCATAAAATACACATCTATATTTTTCGTTACTCAGTTTATTTAATAATTTATTCACTCTAATCATAATTGTAATCACAATCGACATTCTTATCATACGTGGTAATAACGATTTGGCAATTTCTGAATTTACTACTTAATCTCACGTTTAATGTTACTGTACCATGATACGTTTATCATGGTTTCATTTATTACAAAATATTTTATAAATAGAAATTAGTTGGCAAGACGGTTAAAACCAATGGTTGTTGTTGTTATTGTTGTATTGATATACTTTATGAATACTTTCGTGTTGAATATTTCGTGTACGATTAACAATATAATATCTCTGGTAAAATAAAAATACATTCAAATAATTCGTAAATAACTAGATAAATATTTCATTTCATTGGTTTCAACTTGTCATATATACAATAAATAATAAGCAAACATTACAACGCTGAACTGAATATAATGATTTATAATGTTTCACGCGACTAATATTCTATACTTTATTCTACAATATGTTCATGTAATGTATCACAGCGAATTATGAAACTAGTAAAATACCGGTACCTATGCTATTAGCACATGTAATAAACCTCTACATATCGTATATATGATATATAAGTGCATATCTTCCTTATTTGCACTCTATACTTCATCACAATCAATATTACGTATAAAACTACACTCTATAAATGTACCAATGGATGTATGCACAGAAATTTGACTGTAATTAAACTAAAATGGTGATATGTATATAGAAACTTAGTGAGATTGTGTGTAATAGTGAAGCTGGCGAAAAGCAACATCAGCTGGTGGTTTAGCCTGCTCGAAGCAAGCTATTTCTTGCATAAAAATTCAAACCAGTTCGATGCTACTTAATTTTTATTTGGCCGATCACAATCAGAGAGGAATTGTAATAACTAATACCACTTTTTTTTTTAATTAATTGGCACATTATCCTCACAAATGCTGTATATTTGTAACGTGAATAAGGTTGATTAAATATTCTGAAACAGCTACTAAATGTTGGGTCTGTTTGCATTGTTAATTCGAACAACCCTTTTTAAAGTAATAAACTCCTTCCCTCAACCATTTTATTATTAAATTTGAAGCTTGAGTTTTTTTTTTTTTGCCAGTAATTCACAGCTGTATTTGCCTTATCATTCATAGTTTCTTGAGTCCGGGTAATCTGTCATGTTTGGTATGATCTCGCTGTCTTTATTATATTGATTTTTGTAAGTCTCATAGTTATGTCTATAGATGGGGTCAGGGGTGCCGAAAATTGAATTGCAATTAAATTATTGCACAATTATAATTAATTGACATTGTTAAAATGAACAATTATAATTAATTGACATTTTTAAGCCAACAATTGCAAAACAATTAATTTACAATTAATTGCAATTTTATAATAAAATACAGTAAGTGAATTTAAATATAACTTAAGAGCCCAAATTTTGAAAAAATTTATAATTAAGGGCCAAAATAATTTTTCGTTATGATGATAGTGGTTCTTCGATGTTATAAGTATTAATTTATACATTTATACTTTACCTTTCGCTTAATGAACTTTCTTTTAGCCAAGAAACAATTCGACTAGGTTAAATACGATTGATATTGTAATGTTTATTCAGTTCTAAACTAATGTTTATCCTATATCAAACTAGTGATACTTGCCGTCATTTGCAGCTCGAAAAAAGGCCTCTACGTAGCATTTATTTGAGACTTTTGCGCTCATTGTAATCAATTTAAAAATAATACTAGTATGTTTTTTTAAAAAAAACACTTGACTGCTCAATTTCTTATACGCTTTTTTTTCTTAATCGTATAAGCTTTTTTTTTATTTATTTAATCAAAAAAGCTTTTTTTTTATTTATCTAATCATAGAAGCTTTTTTTTATTTATCTAATCGTATAAGTTTTTTTTCTTTATTAAAAATCATATATAATAAACTTTTTTTTTGCCTGTAATTTTGACGTCAAAGATCAGCAAGTTATCACATTTACAAACTACGGCAAAATTGCAATTAATTGTTTTAATTGTGGCTGCGCCACCAATCAATTAATTGTCAAATAATTGCAATTAATTGCCTTCACAATCAATTATTCGGTAGGCCTGGTGATGATTATGATAATAATAATAATAATAATGATGTGTTTTATCATGGCATTATTGACATGTGCACTTTAGAAAGTACATTATGGGAAATTAATACAAAGAAAAAATTAATACCTGGCCCAGGTGGTAAATATAAAATACGTGTTTCAGCAAGGGCGGATAACTGTAAAAATAGTAAATCTAAGTGTACAGATGAAATAATATTTCGAATGACTCCACCTCCATCTGCAGACTTTACACATTTTTACGATCACAATACTGATTATCTTGGAATATTAGTAGAAAATACAGAAGATAAACAACCATCGCTTGGATACACATATCAAGTTTATCAAATTATAAATAGTGATGATAACATTATTTACACTTCCCGAACCAAAAACCTTTCAAATTTAAACTTAGATAGAATTAGAGATAGTTCAGAAACCTTACATTAGAGCATTTTATTCGTGTGAATGATATTGCAACAGAGGAATCCAATTGGATGGACTCAAGTTATACAACTAGCAAATCCTTTAAATTTTTTTCTCGAGTAAATAATATTAAAGTTCATCTTGCATTTCTTAAATTTACAATCCGATAATGCTTAATTCCATACTATACATCATAGATATTTTTTACGCATTTAAGCAATGTATGCATTTAAACTATAATATTTTAATAATAAAATCCTAGGTAAATTAGTATTTAGTTTCGCTTGTACACATATCACTCATAGTATTATTCATTGATCGCCTTTGAATTTGTCATAGCAATCGATAAAATTTTTATTCATATGTGAAAGTATATGCATTTAGGTTGCATTCATTTCGATCATTAGTCAAAGTATATGCACGATTTGATAATATTAAACCCACAATGCTCATTCGTGAGCTTTTCACGAAGCCATTTTTTATAAACAGCTTCGCTTTGAACATTAGGAATTAAACTACTATCATGCAGAGAAATTGTTTACTACACCTCCAGCTCATAATCAGTATTGGAGACCAACAATTCTCGCTACCAACCTAAAGACAAGGATTGTGTGATTCTACCATCTTACAGCCAGCTTACCTTGGTCAATTACTCGCTTTTCTGTCATGTATTTTCTGACTTTGATTCAATAAAAAAAAAAAAAAAAAAGTATCCGGCATAGTCCAAATAAATGATATTGGTTACGAAAGTAATGGTAAGGTTTATGCATACTGCATATGAACTGCACGCATATGTGCACAGATTACGTGAGAGTCAATACTTTTTAAATATTTACACAATTAATTTAATCAATATTAAGTGTTCAATAAGGTATGTACGTACGTATGTAGGTAGGTACGTATGTAATAATATATTTTATTATATAAAGTAAAAAAAAGGTAAAAAAAATATCAAAGTTTAAAATGAAATGTTGTGGGCAATGGCCCGAAGATAATCTGAAAGTAACATATTAGAACAATTCGTGTTCCACATTCACGGCTAGTTCTTTTTTGCTGGGGTCGAGGTGCGCCTCTTAAAATTGATTCAATTTCAAGTTGAACGCGATTTTGCTCTTTTTGATTTCACCTATCATTCTGAAAGTGCCTATATGAGTATCTCCTAACAATGCTAGTCATCTTCGATGCCAGCTCTCTACTGAATTTTGGGTTCGTGGGAGTGCGTGCTCAATGTTGTCAGTAATGGACCAAAGTTCAGGTGGAAATAATAGATTATTTCTTAAAATAATTCCATTCCTTATTATAGGCCTTCCTCTTGAATGTCTTTCTCTTCCAAGTACATAATTTTCTTCAAACCAATTTACAAGATTATTTGCTTCATCTGGCATACCATTTTTTATTGCACTAAGAGCTGCAGGAATTTCATTGGGAGGTAAAAATGCAAGTGTGGAAATTTTGAGCTAAAATCTCTATCTGTTCCATATAGACTATTATATAATAGTTAAATTTAATAAATATAGTTAATATAATAAATATGTATACATAAAAAAAAAAACTTACGTTGCAAGACCAAGATCTTTTACTTTATGATATATACTTTGGGAAAGGTGAAAATGATATCCTTTATTTAAAGCATTAGGATATTCTAACCTAATTGCATTAATAGCTGCTTGTTCAAAGTCTGTCAAAACAATTTGTAGCTGTAAATAAACATTATGTTCTTCACAAAAATCATTTAAATCTTCAAATAATTGTTGAACAGTTAAGTTACCGAAACGAAGAGTCAATAAAAAGGAAAGATCGATGTAACCGCTAAAATAATAATGTCGAAAAAGAAAATGCAAATCTGAATGATGAACGTAGCTTTCTAATTACGATCAGGAACTTCTAAAGAAGTTTCGTGATGCAGTTTATGCACTTAAATTCAATTAGAATTTTTCTACGATTGTATTAGTCCATAAAACAGGATTATGTACTAGATGCAATCAAGAAAAATTAAACCCCAAAAAGTTTTCGAATGAAAATGATATGGACCCTGGTATGTAAAGTCTTTTTTTTCTTTTTTTTCTTAAGCTGATTACTATTATTTCTTTCTCTTTCTTTTTAACCCCCTTTTTTTGAAATTTGTCTTTTTTTTTTTTTTTTTTTTTTTTTTTCTAAGCCAATTTTTTTAAATTTGTCTTTCTATTATTTTTTGACCCATTTTTTTTAATTTTTTTTTTCTATATAAAATTTAATAAAAGCGCACGCATGAAACCCATCTCTACTTATTATACATATGTGTATATTATAAAGTTTAAGCGTGTAATATATAAGGCTCCAGCCCTACGAAACGGCGCCGTTTTACTAGTAATAAACGCAATATGAATAGCATAGGTGAAGATCTCTCTGATTGGCCAATATTTTAGACTACAATTTATATAGATATGATAGACGTTTGCTAAAATTTTGGAAATCTTGCATAAA